TTTAGTAAATTTTCGAAGAGATCGATCTATTTTTCAGAATGCCAACTTCGAAAGTTTTCACTGCGAATTACAAATTTTAGTTAACATGACTGCATCACATTTGTAGTCCTGTTAGTCATTAAAATCCTCGAATACCCAACGAACAGTTACAATTTTTGAGAACAGCCAGATTACGATATCATCTTATAATTATTCTAGTTCACTGGGCATATCGTTAATCTAATCATCATATTCAAAAAGGCGTTTAACCCAGGAACATCGTGTTTCACTTTAGAATGGCACTTGTTTGCACGAAAACGGATAATCCTCAGCAAGGATGATGCGTCCGAATGTTTTTCTTTAACTCTTACTTGCGTTGTCTTTACAACCTCAGGTAGAAAATGTCATGCGTTTGAAATGTGTCCAGTCCCCATTGTGTTGTACCATGATTATTGTTTAGACCCTGGTTTCTGTAGATTATTAAGGCTTAGAAAGCGTATGTTAAATGTATGTAGACGGTTTATTTTCCACTGTATACTTAATTATGCATTTATAAGTTATCAAAGTGACCATAATTCACAGCTGAACGTAAACAGTGAATATAAGGTGAAATGTTATTATTTAAAATTAAATATAATATATGTGAAAAATGTGTTGTTTCTGACTTTATTCAGTAAAAATGCGTCCGTTAGAACCAAAGGAATAATTGATCTGCGGTAGGACTTAGCGATTCAATGTATACTATTGTTATGGACAAAAATACTACTAGTAGTACGAGTTTCGAAGTATGTATATTCGTCTATAATGGGTACATGATTGTGACGAGGTGGCATAGGTTTTAAATGTACTATCATTAATATAATTATTATTTATACGAATTAAGTGAAAACTACTGTTTGCATAACTTACTCTAGAGTTCAACAAGTCAGTGTGAAAAAATTTTACCGATAAAGTTTCATTGAAATATGTGCTATTTGAGTAAAAATGATAGTTTACCTAAAGAAATTGGCACTAATAGTGATGTGAAGTGCACTTGAAGATAACTATCTCCCTACTTTGTTTTCACTATGAATGGTTCTATCTAGTGATTTTTCTTCCCAATTCCTATCTACTGCTGGGACAGCCGATTCTCATGGTGAAATTGATTGTTTTATCATCCAAAACTGCTGTTATAGCACGACCTGTTTTTGTGATTTCGACTTCCTTGACCTCTGCCTATTGTAACAAAAGTTCTATTCTTCCTCATTATCCTTAACAGGTTTTGGAGTTCTTAATGGCTTGCAACGGTTATCATGTCTGACATATGAATATAGTTAAGAAATAAATTAATTAGATATAAAATGCATTTCTAACTGATTAGCTATGGCTACCGAATATTGATAATTATATGTTTAGTGGATTGTTCTAGAGATTGTCTTTATCCACCAATGGTTTGCCGACTTAGTAGGAAGTATGTTTTTATCAGTATAGGGTTGTGGCGATTGCTGAATTTTACTAAAATTACGAACCGATCTAAACTAAACAACCACCAAAAGCGCTGAAAGACAGTTTTGTCCTGGCAAGGTTCCCTCAACAGTGCACATGCACAACCCCACGACTGGGAACCCAGCCCAGTATTTTTGGCCTCACGTGCGAATGTTTAACCTCTAGACCATTGAGCCTGGATCTATGTATTAAAAGTAAATAACTCGAATCGTAAACTTTTATCTGCAATTTCCTCTAAGGTATTTCAAACTTACAAAACGGTACTTCCTACTTTTTGCAGTACTTCATCCAGTAGAATGTATACTAGATGTTTTTTAACCAGTTAGAAATAGTATTACAACTATGTTTATATAAAACCCCAAGATCCATCATCTTGAATCTGTTTGGCTCGTCCGTAGAACACAATTCTACCGAACTCTCATCTAAGGATGCTGCAACAAGGTCAGTGAACTACTTTGAACCATAAGTTGCTTGTTGGATAAATGTTATCATATTGTTGTATATGAAAACATAATTAAATCAGTATTCGATGAATATGTAGTTATTTATAAAAGCTACCAGTCACTTGGGTCATCTTATTATCATTACATGGTACGAAGCCACATTTTACTTATATGTGATACAACTTGTGGTCACATTCCCCCTATAATCATTCTTAAGTGTTTATGAAACAGAATTTTGTACAAACGTTTGTCCAACTTGAAACTCAGTAATCAAATTTTTATCAGCTCTACAGTCACTTGTAATGATGTCCCAAGGTTTGTTAGTCTGTCCAACCAGCCAAAAAGTTATGTTTTCTATGCTATCATCTCAATGTGAATTAAAAAAAAACACTTTAAAGTTACATTTATAGTTTCAGAAACCCATTAGAAAGTCCAGTGCTTAGTTAATGATGTCTCTCACTTATAACTTCTGAATCTTACAGCCACAAAGATACACCCTTATTGGAAATGATATATCAATACTAAGAATGACTTATTATTCTTAACTTTGATCAGTTCATTTGATACCCAGTCCTTGAATGGGTTTTATTTAACAAATTTACAGAATTTTCAAAGTAAAAAAATTGTTCCATAAAACATTTTAATGCATGAAAGATCAACTCTTAATAGAACATGTTCTGTTTAGATTTTCATTAACATTTTCTAAAGCTCAACAGTCATGGAATATATGTGCACTTGTTTAAACGACAAAAATTATTATAGCTCGCACCCTGACCAATTCACTTATTCATTTGAAAGGCAGAATTCGAAATAATATTGTTATCTTAATTTCATTCAAGTTGAAAACTTATCATTTTGTTATTAGTCGACAGTTAATTTAATTCTAATAGTTGAGATCATGAGTCAATTGAAGCCAGACCATCATGGAAAACCTGGAAGCACTGGACGGCCGTTTAGTCCTATTGTGGGACTCGTGGGAGTCCTCGTTTCTGGTCCTAAATTGAATTGTCATCAGTGCTATGAAATTATAAATTAAATAGTTAACCAGCAATTTTCCAAAAAATAGGCGCATACAATTCCTATAACATATTTTTTTCTATCTTTTCTCAACAAGTAATTGCGAAAATACTAATTAGTTTATAACATACATCAATAGTTATCTAATAACCAAGTCCCGGTTTGAACAAAACACCTAATGAGTCATTTTTGCCTAGCACTGATTCTTTTCCAAAACCAACTGCCAAACAAATCGCAACCTAAAACGCACTCAATTGCTTGCTCATTGTTTTATTACTCGCTCACTCTTTCAATATTATTCAGATGTATATCATCGTAGATAGGAACCTATATCATTACTAGAGTTTGAATTTGCCAAGAACAGCCCAAGTTATCTAGTTTTTTTGTGATTACATGTTATTTCCTTCAACTGATGAATAACCTCGATGGAAATTTTCTAATTCATATTCCCGTAATAACCTTTTCTGTTTGCTAATTTTGTTGTGGCCCAAGGCCATTGAGTAACTACAAAAAGTTTTTATCTCAGTTTCTAAATTCTATTCGGAATATGGTACCCTTCCCTGAAGTATTGTCTTCTCTATCACATATCAGCGTGCGAATCGCTAACTTTGAAGAGTCATTGTGTGTCAGTTTCTATGATTTCAAGTTCGCAGTAGATTTTCATTTTGAAACCATTGCTTTTATCGACTTTAAGCAGCATTATCCCGTTGTGGATATTCTTGACTGGATTTTGATCAGTCTTTGTTGACATATACACATCCTGTGCAGACTGTCTCTATATAGCCAAAATGTCACAAACTTTATATAAAATAGATGAAGTGTAGCTAGCAGCAGAACCTAGGATCCATGTATCGCTCTACTTGGGACTCCTTAACCGGATGCCCCTGTATCTCAGTAATGTTCATACAATGACTCAAACCCAGTACCTACCGTTTTAAACTCCTAACCCGTTATCCGCTGGGCTACTGAATCTGGTTGGCTTCTATCTTGTTCAACGGGTATGATATTTTTATCATTAGAAAAGGCTTGATTTACCCCACTGTTGATATTGTTGACTGGATTTTAACCAGTCTTTGTTGGTATGTGTGAACACAGTGCTGATTGTCTCGCAGTGCGTTTAAAGAGTAAGGCACAAGGTTCGAGTCCTCACATGAATGTCAACATTGGGGTGCAAGTATAACAAGCTGACAAGTCCGAAATAGGACGGGATGAGCATCCTGAATTCCACTGCTAGCCACAACCCATCTATTTTATATAAATAGAAACCCAGATGAACCCGCGAGAACATATGATGCAAGCAATTTTACAACAATAACTGAAATATGATCATGCGCTAATTATGAAGAAGCTACATACCAAAATAACTACTATTCATTCGTTAATTAAAGCAACTAAAGAACATGAAAAGATGTATTAAAAACAAACAAATATATATTTATTTATTTATTTTTAATGACTGAAAAACAGAAGTTTGAAAAATCCAAATAAAATAAATTTTCTATTAAGCAGTAAATAAATTAGTTATTTTTCTTAGTTTGAATAAATATTAACAAGTAAGTAAGTATTGGTATAATTGAGCAAGAGAATATGACTAGAGAAAAAGAAACAAATAATAAAATAAATGAGTTTTGCACAGGATTGACAATAAAAAGACAATAAATTGCACATTATTTAGGTTTTAATGAGAATATTAGTGGTAGTAATAATAATAGTAGTAGCAGAAGTAGTGGTAGAAAATTAAAGAAAAGAAATGAATATACATAATCATTATCATTTATGATGTTGTGCATTTTTCGCATAGGAATGTTTTCATTTAACACAGATCATAGTTAAATAGGTAGTTAGTTGCCCAAATGTATTTGTCTACAACTACATAAATATAAGTTATACAAAGACCAATAATAAACAAATAGGAAAAACAAGAACAAAAAAAGAATTATAAATATCTCTCATACACGCATACATAAAACAGGCTAACGATGTAATAAATAAACAGATTAAGGAAAATTTTATTTTAAAAAAATATCATAAGATGATTTGAAGATAAATCCAATAATTTATGAAATTTCAAACGGTTTAGAGATCATGAAAACCAATTAGTTCGACCAATCCAACAGTGAACATACAACCAATTTGTCCATTTTCACACTGAACTGTTTGTGTTAAATCAGCTGGATCAGTAATCAAGCAAGGATTAGAAAAAGTTAAAGTTGGACCACTTGAAGCCGTTGTGAGACAACTATCCAAGCTCAAACCTGGAGGTCCCTTACTTATACTGCCACCAAGTTCTATACCATTATTTGAAGCTCGTTGAAAACGTTGATGTTGTATGGAATGTATAATCTTTTCATCACCAGAACTTGATCCAACCCACCTATATATAACAAATGGACCAGGTTTAATGCGAAATAGAAAGCATAAACCATTTCCGTAGTAAACAGATTCAACACGAGGTTGCCATCTGTCTGAACAAAAAGCTCCAATAATACTATTCCTTGACAAACTACGTACCAATAGAATTGTTGCGGGATTTTCTGTCTCTGCTGCCTTAGCATAAAATGTACGCAGGCTATTACCATCTACATTAGATGAAAATATTCGATACGGTTTAAATAAACAGGAATATTTGCGATCATCAATCGATGTGATAATTGAAGCTAATTCATTACTCGATACACACTCAGACGGATGAATTTGTTTTTCAGCATCACCACCAAGTAAGTAAGCAGCGAATGTATTCTTTCCACTTTTATTACATGGTTGAATTAGCTGTTTGTCAACATCAAAATTCACTTTCATTAAAGAAAAGAAAGTTAAAATTGATTGAATTAAGACTTTTGTTATATATATATATATATATATATATATATATATATATATATATATATAATTGGTTGAGCTAGAAAGAATAGTTGATTTACTCTCACTAAATAAAAATGTTGATAATTAAAACTTGACAGAACAATATATAGTAATATTTTTCCTAAATACAACAAGAATATTTCAATCAATATCTTGAGGTAAAACTTGGAAGTATGCAATAACAGGTTGAGAGAAAATGCAATCACTGCAAATACACTGTTTATTGTACATTTTTAATTATTATTAATGTTTAGTTTAATAAATCTTAATGGACAGTTTATTGAACTGTTGGACTAGTAGTTCCCCATAAATCAACGTTTAAAAAAATATAGTTTCGCATTTACGAACATAGAGATGAAAACAAATAACTTTCGATATCCCTACAACTTACTGAGCAATAAACTAACACTATCATAGTGTTTATCTTCTGTTTTAAGGACACTTATAAAGACTAGATAAATCATTCATTGTTTCCACTTATCATGTGAACAACTTCACTTTACTGTGTAGTCATAGTGTTTGGTTTAATAGTAAAGACATTATTTAAGGAGGGAACTCTGGGTTGAAAAACAAATATGCTTAAAATATTATATTTTACAAATCGTTAGGTGAGCAAAAATTACCTTGAAGAGACTGAACACTTTTGATTGCCTGAGCAATTTTCGTCCGACTCACACCACGCAGTGAGAACATTTTTCTCATTAACTTTGATGGTGTCAACGGGATATGTTTGAATATTTCTTCATCATACACAAACACATGAGAATAATCACCAACACTCCTCCCGATTCCATTGGTTTCACTGATACTCTTTGAATACTTTCCACTTAAGGAGGCTTTAAGAATCTAAATGATAGATTACAAAAAAGGAACACAATTAATGTGCTTTGCACAACAGCATAATTTCTTTAGAAACGATTCAACACTAAGTTAATTTTAAAAATGAAGATTAAAAAGTGGCTAAGACTGAACTTCAATGATGGGTTTATTACCGAATAACCTGCTTTGTAGTAAAATTAAATCGTATTATAACCTTCAAAAGTTTACTTGCAGCACAAGTCGGTTACCGATAAACAACCGCTTACTATTTGACTTTAATTTAAAGTTATGTGAGGAAAACATATCATCACACTCTCTGAAACATCGACATGACAACTCAATGACTTTTATTAGGAAAGTTTGTCTTTGACAATCAACATTTCTGAAGCGAATTAGTCAGTAGTTTCTCTGATGTCACATTCATGACGTTAACGCCTCTGAGTTTTTGAAATATAGTCAGATAATTCGAAAATGAATTCTTTGATTGATGCTATCTTCTTTTTAGAATAAGAACTAGTCCTTCTCCTTTGCCTGGCTTGCTTATGATCAGTGTTATCTTTTCTAAGCTTACGTAAAGCATCTTGATATTGTTTGGTAAGTGGAGATTTGATGGGATTTTCACCATTTTTGCATTATTGCCAGCTATCAGCCAACCAACGTGTTCTGAAGTCTAGTAAGTTCTTCGAATGAGGTTGAAACCAAATCTGTTGTTTATGAAAATAATTTTTTAGACTGCAGGTACGTATTTAGTTAATTAATTTTATATCCATAGTCACAGAATTTATTGGCAAGTGATAAAGCCTCTAATTTAATTATATTCGATTTCACACTGGAAAAATTGTAGACGTATTGTTTAGGTCAATAGGGAACTTAATTTCTGGTTTTTGATGTTCAAGCGAATTCAATAATTCTATCCCTAATTTTTTTAATCTACTTTTTGCCACAGTTCATAAATTGTGATTTCATATCTAGTGGTAAGTTTTCGACAGTAGATTACCCTTGTGAAAGATTGCTTTCCAAATCAATAGTGTGCAATTTTTAATAAATCTGTTTGATAACACAATATCTGCCACTCGTTTCCAGTGTAGTGTAAAGCATGAGGCTTGAATAGTAAGTATTAGACAAGCATGACATTATTACCCAGTGACCAATCAATGTAAACATGTTAATTCTGCAGGATGTCAGTTGTAGTTAGAATGTCTTAGTGGTGATGTTTCTAACTGTGAAACTGAATGCGGTGGGTTCAAGTCTTACAGGAATTATCAGTTCATTTATTACTGTACATATGTCTTGCTGATGATTCCTAACTGACATAAGACTTGGGTCTAAAACTAACAAATATAACTTAACCAAGACCTAAAGCCTCATGTACTAAACTGCAGCTCACATGAACAAGGGGAAAAACGACAGTCAATTTTTTTAACTTTTAAGGAAAAGGTTGATTACTAAGGTAGATCGAAGTCGAAGAAGAAGAATGTAACACTAAGCGAGTTTGAGAAGCAAATCATAATAATGTGTCTACAAAATTCTAAGAAAGAACCTTTAAGTGAACCGTAGACTATAATAAAGTGATTAATAACTGTTATTAACGCTGCATGAATGAGCTAGCTTTTATCATATCTAAAAACAGATGTATCGTACAGTGATCACAGATAATATAAAATCAGTGATATGAAAAACTTACGACTAAACCAGCACGATAGAACACTTTTGGTCCCTCTAACAAAAAGCTATCAATTAAACAAACAAGATGTTCAAAAGGTAACTTCCACAGTAAAAAACACCAACGGGCCAACTCAAGTCGTCTTTCATCTTCTTTACAGGTGGCACTAACATTTTTCTCATTTAATGTGGAAGTCAGCAATATGGTACGTTTCTGACTATCTCTTCGTAAAATATTACATAAATAGGCCAACTCTTCTAGTGACAAACAATGTTCTTTCCAATCAGATTTTGTTTGAATTAAAGTACCAGGTTGATCCAATAAAGTGAGTATACATTTACGTACAACTGTAATAGGCATATAGTGTAGAAATAATGCTGTCAACGGCCATAGCTGTGGGGCATAAACAAGTTCTGGGCGGTCAATAAAAATATTATGTAATATTGTTCGTAAACAATTTTGACCAAGTGTATTTAAGAAAAAAGTTGGCAATAACATTTGATTAGAAAACTCGTAACCAGCCAATAATGAAGAACCATCAATGTTTGTAACACTGGTTGTTGAAATATCATTACTATGGATACTTGAATCGGAAATCTAAGTAAAATCAACAACATGAAAGTTATGAATACAAAAAGATGTATATCGACAAACAAATAATTATTATAAGGAGAGAAGGGTGGTAGCATACTCATTACTTTACTCCGATAGAACTCCATTCTAATCCCCTATTACTATAAATGATTAATATTTATTTATTTGAACACATAAATATTGGTACAAGGGGGCACCAAATATATATGCGACACACAAAACAATAAGAATAGAAAGAGAAAAAAGAAGGTAAGGTACGTATAAGAAAAAAACAATAACAACCGCAGTGTATGGTAGTGTAATAATAATAATAGTAATGGGGGAAACGGAAAGGTACAACCAGAAGAATTCTTTCAGTTAAGGAAGATACAACCACTTCTTATGAAGAAAGTAAAGGAAGGCTACAGCAGGATCGCCACTGGCCTCTATTCTGAGCCATATCTGATAACGTCTATAGCCACTGTGTTGCACCATCTTTCGGACCCCAGCCACGGAGTCGTGAAGGACCAACACAAGCCAGCCCTTTGCAGCTTTCTTTCATACCACGACACCATGTCATACACTGACCACCTCTCCGCTTTTTCCAACCAGTCCCAGAGTCGGCAAATAATGCACGACGTGGAATTCTCCGGGACGACATTCGTAGAACATGTCCAAGCCACCGAAGTCGGTGTCTCAAGATAGTACCACCAATTGAATTATCGTCTCCGTGCCCGAACAGACGATGCCGAACCTTTACATTGCTAACATGGTGTTGCCACTGGATGTCAGCAATTCTGCGGAGACAATGATGGTCGAACACAGAGAGTCGTCTAACGTACTCAACTCGGAGAGGTCAGGTTTCACAAGCATAGAGCAGAACTGCTCTCACCGACGCGTTGTAGATCCGAACTTTTACAGCCAGACCAACATCACGAAGGCGCCAAAGATGGTCCAGATCGGCATAATCTGCTCTGGCTTTCACTATACGTGCATTGATCTCATCACTCACACCACCACCAGCACTTATGCAGCTACCTAGATACACGAACTTCTCAACTAATTCTATCTGCTCACCATCCAGGGTGAGTACAGGATTAGAATCCTGCCAGTCTTGTAGAAGTACTTTGCATTTCGAAGGTGCAAAGCACATCCCATACCTACGGACACTGATTGCCAACTGACTGAGTGCGGATTGCATGGCTTGGACATTCTCGCACAGTAAGACAATATCAGCCGCATACTGAAGGTCGAGAAGTCTTTCTCCAGGTAACAGATCCACACCACCATTACCTATATCCATCAGAGCTGTTTCCATAACGTCATCGATAGCGAAATTGAGGAGGAATGGTGAGATTGGACAACCCTGTGTGACCCCACTGCTTGAATGGAACAATGGAGAGAGGTAGTTGTATGTCCTCACTCTGCCTGAAGTGTTTGCATATAGGGCTTTTAGGATGTTAATACACTCCTCAGGCACACCCTTCTTCAATGGACAATCCCAGAGAACAGTCCTGTCCAACGAATCGAAGGCATCCCTGATGTCAAGAATCACTACGATTGTTGGCCTTTGATAAGTATGACGGTGTTCTAGCATTTGGTGGAGGGTGGAGATATGATCAATACATCCTCGACCAGAACGAAAACCAGCCTGCTCCTCGTGAGTCAATTTTCTCGGGTTTTGAACAACCTACGAAGTATGACGGAAGCCAATAGTTTAAACGCAATCGAACTACATTCACCCCCCGATAGTTGCTACTGGAACGACGTGAACCCTCGTTAAAGATAGGGACAACTATCGACTCATTCCATGATGTTGGAACACTCTCTAATTGCCAAACTTTGGTAAACAACTCAGACAGTTCCCTAACCAGGAAGTCACCACCATCTTTAAAAAGGGCCGAAGGTAAGTCATCTGGGCCTGGTGATTTGTAGCGTTTCAAGAGTTAGAGTTCCTTGCGGACTTCCGCCTCATTTGGTGGATCAGTCGTCACCGGCCATAGAGGACAGGACAGTCTGACCGATGTTGCTGGAGCAGCAGGCCAGTTGAACTGCCCTTCTAAAAATCCTGCCTATCGTCCAAGACGTCGATGGATGTTAGCGATTGGCATCCCGTCATCCTCACAGATTGTTTCGCTCACACCAGACTTCTTACTGCCAGTGGCTCGGATGAGTTGGAAGAGCTTCCGGTAGTTACCAGATGCAGCTGCTGCTTCCAGCTCATTAGCACGCTCCGACCACTAGGCTTCTCGGTCCGTCGGAGCATGGGCGCAGATGACCAAAAGATATCACTTCACATACAGATTTCTTCGCAATTTGACGGAACTTTCTGATCTAACGGCACACAACTGACTTTTAGTGGGGATCCAATCGAATAGTGCTGCCTCAGCTCTAGCGCCTAGTGCGACACCAACGCCAGCAAAACCAGATGAAGATGCCACAGGGTCACTGGATAAACGCACGTAAAACAAGCTTTTTGAAGCGACAGATGGAGAGCGAATTTATAGTACTTGACCAGTCTCGAATACAGGTCTCGGATAGACAACGAACGTCGATATTAAGGCTTTCCAAAGACATAGCCAGCCCTATCTGTTGTCCGATCTGCATTAGTGTGCGAACGTTGAAGGCAGCCAGTGTGAATGGCGCACGTAGTTTTAGAAAAGCTGTCTCAGTATTCGTGTTCGGTGGTAGCATTCGATTTTCGACCAGTCAGTGACTCGAGATTGTCTAGATAGAACAGAGTTTCCACCATAGGCGAGCTGCTGTATAAGTTGAAAAATAAGGATACACAAAGTGGGAATAAAAGAGTGAATAAGTGACGTGGTAAATAATAATAACAATATTATTATTATTATGTGAACTGTTTGACTGCTAATCGAAGCGTGGTTAGAATTTTCAGTAAATATCGTCATTTTCACTTTATTTGTGTGTGGGCTGTGATACTTCCCGGGTGCCCAGACCGAAGCAGGTAGTTTTCTTAGGGAGCCACACCCGGAGCCTTCGACCTAAAGGTCTAACCCACAAGGAGTGGGGGATCGTAAGGAGATGCAGTCCCATGGTAACCGGTGACCAACAATTGGTTCATACGCCATTTGTTCCTTCAGGATACTGGAGCCAGCCCATGTGCACCATCGGTTTGGAATTCGGTTAAAGCGCCGGACATTTGCTTTTCGTCCTCTCATTTTCGTAAACAACACCTCCGCCATGAGAAGGCAGTGAGTAGGACTTTCCTGACAGAGGCTGTATACGCGTGGCCGTGTGAACATTCCGAGAGGGAGGGAGGGCCCATCCCAGGGCATTTGGGAACCATGAATTTTTGTAAACCACCATTGTACTGTTAAGATATATCAACGTAAATTGATCCATAGTTATACTAGATCTATCGAAATGAGTGTCACTTAACATATATAAGGAATTAAAAAAAGCTGATTGGGGGAAACAATTGATTGTACTCCTAATTGAAACACATGATTGATATATGAAATATTCTCTATTAAGTAGACTTTAGATTATCTTTTATTATTACAATAAGGGCAAAGCACCATAATAAATGGATTACACTCTGTTAGAGGAAATGTGTAACTGCTTAGATGAATTGTCAGTCAGTCAGCTGCAACGTAGGACCAGGCACGTATATGCATCGGTCCAAGTTGCCATACCGCATTAGCACAACAAGATGAACACCGGATTCATAGAAGTAGTCACATCAAAGGTAGTAGTATATAAAAGAAAGATTGTGTATAAGGATATAATACAGGAAGAAAGAATTACTTCGTAGAAAGAAAGATATGAAGCGATTTTAATCTCTTAGTTTAAAGGAAGATAGAGAGTGTATACACCGACGCCATTGTGATAGATTCTGAGCCATGTCACCAAGAGTCTCCAACCATTGGTTACGATAGCCACGCGGACCCCAACCAGGCAGTCTGCATCTACCAACATGGCTCAGACCAGAAGTTAGAGACTTCAAGCACTGATGCCACGTTTTGGTTTGGCCGCCCCTAACTTTCTTCCAATCATCCCTAACACCGGTTAGCATTGCGCGCCGTGGTAATCGGTGTTCAGGCATATGCAGCACGTGGCCCAACCATCTCAGTCGATGAAGATTCGCCATGTTTCGCAGCCGTATAGTAGAACGGAACGAACTGCCCCGCAGTATACTCGTCCCTTAATTGAAAGACGGATATCTCGCCTTCGCCATAGATGACGTAAGTTGGCAAAGGCCAAACGAGCTTTTCGAATCCGTGCTGAGATTTCGTCAGACACCAACCCATTAGGGCTGATCAGACTTCCAAGATAAGTGAAGTTGTCAACGCGTTCGATTATTTCACTCCCTATCCTTAGTTCAGGTGTTGACGCAGACCAGTCCTGAAGCAACAACTTGCATTTAGAGGGAGAGAAGCGCATCCTAAACATTCTGGCATTGTTGCTCAGTGCTACCAAAAGACTGCATTTCATCAGCGTCTTCACCAAACAGAACTATGTCATCTGCGTATTCTAAGTCAATAAGTGGACCTCCTGGTAGGAGATCAATATCCGAGGATTCAGTCGATAAAAGCGTTATTTCCATCAGTAGATCTATGATGAAGTTAAACAAAAATGGAGAAAGTGGACAGCCTTGGCGGACGCCACTTGAGGTTGCAAAAGCAGATGACAGTTCGCCATAAGCTCTGACTCGACTAGCCTTCACAAGGTTTATGTACTTCTGAGGTACGCCTTTCAATGACAGACACTGCCACAGAACCTCTCGGTCAACAGAGTCAAACGCTGCTTTTAAATCAAGGAAGACCACTATTGTCGGACGCCGATAAGTATGCCTGTGTTCTAGAACCTGACGAACGGTGAATATGTGGTTGATGCAGCCACGACCAGGTCTGAAGCCAGCCTGATTTTCACGTGTTTGCAGTTCACGAGTCTTAGTTAGGCGTCCGAAAATTATCGAAGCTAGTATTTTAGATATTATATTAGTTAAACTAATCCCTCTGTGGTTGTCACAGGCTGATTTTTACCCTTTCTTAAATATTGGGACGATAAGTGATTGTGACCAGTTAGATGGGATAACGTCTAACTCCCAGATTTTAGCTAAAATATTAGTCAACCTAATCGCTAAAACTAGACCACCATCCTTAAAGACCTCTGGGGCCAATCCATCTGGACCAGTTGCCCTTCCTCGTTTCAGATTAGCTATAGCCTTTTGAAATTCAGCTAGAGTTGGGGGACCTACTTCAATGTTCCATTCATACTGTCTGGGAATAGAGGGTAGTTGTAGAGTAGCTGAAGGCCAACTAAACTGCTCCTTAAAGTGTTCCGCCCATCGTTCTAAACGTCTGGACTGGGAGCACATGAGAGTATCGTCTTTTTCCGAAATAGTCTGACTTACACTTGATTTATTAATTCCAGTTTCTTTTATTAGTCTGTAGAGTTGTCTTGTGTTCCCTATAGCTGCCACCTTTTCCATCTCTTGCTTTCGTTGCCCACCACTGCTCACGATCGTTCCTTAGACTTTTGCTTAACCTAGATCTGATTTGTTTACGCTCTTCATCGTGTTCAGAACCTGATGGGATGAGTTTACGAGAATCCATCAGTGCAATAGACCTTGAAGAAATCCATTGGTTCTTTGTAACCCTGTGGTTTAAATCACTGGTAGATATCACTGCTGTTTCCACAGCCGCTTGTATGTCTTTCCAATCAACATCGGGGTCAGCCTCGTTTTCAGAACTACCTAAGTGTGACCTCAGTTGTTCCTGGAACCTACTTTTGGTTTTCTCATTACTCAATTCGGTTCTAATGAGTCTTTTTTGTGTGGCTCTTTTGCGTCCAGTGAGGCGCAAGCAGATGCGTGCTCGTATTAGGGCATGGTCGGAGTCCAAGCAGGTACTCCAGAATGAGCGACAATCTTCTGTTGACCCTCTCCAACGATGACTGATGGCAATATAGTCTATTTGAGTCCATCGTTGGTTTAGTGCAGGGGGTCGCCATGTTAGACGATGTTTCTCCTTATGCTTAAAATTTGTGTTTGCTAAAAATAAACGATTGTCTGAGCAAAGTTGCAGCAGACGATCGCCATTATCTGTTCGCTGTGCCGAAATACTAAAATACCCACCTAAATGTCTTTCTGTTTCGTTTAAGCTACCGACATGGGCATTAAAGTCGCCTGCTACGAGTACTATGTCTGAACGTTTAGCTTTCTGAAGAAGTTCAGAAAGCTTTCTGTAAAATTCATCTTTCACTTCATCCGAACTGCAGTCAGTGGGAGCGTAGGCAGAAACGACGAAAAGGCAACGACGTGTGTCCCTATCTTTCCGGGTTCTTACGGAGCCGTTTAGCCGAGCAGCGCATAGACGACTATTAACGGGGATCCACTCTAATAGCGCTTGTTCCGCCCTCATGCTTAGTGCTATGCCTACACCTGCAAGTCCACGAGAACTAGCCATCGGGTCGCCAGATACACGGAGGGTGTATCTCGTCGGCTCTCCGTTTTGCCGAGGTGAGGTCAAGTGAATGACCGCAGTGCCCAAGGGACAGTTGCTTGAGGTCGGTCACACACGACCTTTTTATGAGTAGTTTTTGTGTTAGCTCCGTACTTTTTGAGAGCTTACCGCCGAAGACGGATATCCGTGGGATAAGGCGAGGTGTGCATTTTTAGGGTCGACCTTTTCTAACCCCTCCCCTCCTTTTGGGAAGGCAGCATCGCTGTTATGCTGGTTGTCTGAAGGAAACACCTTACTGCTGTTACACCTATGTACAGTCAACAGTACGACTTCGCCTTCGGACCTTGGTTTTGTTGCTTTTAGTCTTACCGCTCTTCAACCGACCTGTCTGGCATGGTAGGACCTTGAGGAACGGTTGTTCCAGCCAGTATAGCTCAGTTGCTTCATCACGATAGGCAAGCCCGACCACCACGTCAAGGTAGCAACAACAGTCAGGTTAGATGAATTGAGGATAATAGAGTAACAAAACACTCGGGCATATAGTAAACTTTTTGTTATGATTCTCTGATCATGTTAAAAAAAACTAGAAGTATTATATTCACTTAAGTAATACTGCCAATTGGTCACGTATCGTCGAACGACGGAGTGAGCAATGTTCAAGTTAGACGCAGGACACCAAGTAAATATAGCAAGTCAGTTGATAAAGTTGTAAATGCTCGCAGACTCAGGTGGATAGACCATATATTATGTATGTTTAATCATCGCCTACCTTGATAGGCAATGATTGCTGGTGTAGGAGTATGTTGGGAGAAAGTTTGGAGCGACCAAAAGATGATGTGGCATCAGTTCATGTTTACATTGACTGTCGACCTGAGCTATGCTGGCATATTTGGACTAAATGATCTGGGTCCTTGTGATAAACGTGATCAGTAGCTAGAGATTAGATGATATAGCTCAAAATCGTGCACAATTATGATAATTATCTTGTTGATTTTATTTTGTTATTTTAAAGTGGCATAGCAACTTGGGATAGCAGATATTTGTCACAGGCTCCATGTTGGTTATGAATAATTGACTATAATTAATTGTCGTTATTGCGTGGAAAATGAACAGTCAATTTGGTTGCCATCCTGTGAGAAAAGGTCGTATCTACCCAAGTATTCAGCAAATTAATTACCGGAATAGGTTGTGATATTGGTGGCCATACTGTGTTAAGCAATATAGGTGTATCATCCTCTAAAACATTTAGATAGAGTCCTTCAAGTGTTTATGTTATACTATGTGATTACATAAACTGTTGTTTTGATGATCTGCTGTATAAATACTTTCATATGATAAAAATGATGACCAGAAAATTGATTTAACAAACGATTCTCATAGTCATACTACAGGATAGGACTCATGGTTTCGTGAAATCACGCTGGTATTATCAAATTGGAACGTATGTGCATTAGTCAACGTTGACTAAAGACGAGTATCTGCAGTGGTGGAAAGAACAGTTGTATGGTAGTGTCCAGCTTTAAGGGAGTCTCAGGAAACTTGTGTTATTTAAGCCACTCTATGTGGACTTATGCAGTGGTACAAAGACGAATGAAGAATTATTCCCTGAAGTAACTGCAATAAGTAATAGTCGTCAAGAATGTTTAGTCATTATTTTTGTCCTTTGTTGTGAGAAAACAAATGGACCTAACATGTTTTAACTCCAACCTTGCTGAGATCCACCCTTCTCCCAGAGACTTTGATAAACCTAGTATATTCACATGATGTCGTTCAAGTGAATACCTACAGGGTCTTTTAAATGTATTACGTAAACATTTGAGACTATTTAGCAAATATTTCCAACCTGCTAAGTGCACAATAATGCTTTAGGAATTATTTTTGCCTATACCTATCTTGAAAATGAAATGGTTAGGTCTGTAAATTAGTCTACTTAATACGCAGTCTAGTTGGTTTAATTTATATCTGCCCGCTTATATTACATGTAACACTAGTGAAGTATCTAACTAGCCACAAAATGATCATGTCGTACAACAGTCCTCCCTTCCCCACACTATAACTATGAAATTTAGGCAATTAAAAAGGAAATGTGGAAATTGCAGGTGTTCGGTTATTGATACCTGGGCATTATTGTCAGTGTGTGGTGAAAGCATTAAGTTCACGTTGCAGAAGTGAGGCACGAAGTTCCAGACAAACTCTAATTCAATCGATGTACGTATAAATGATGTTACGACAAAAAGAGTAAGATACACCTAGAAAAAATAATAATTACAAACCGGGTTCCCAAGTAAAAACATTGTTGGAGATTGGATATTAGACCATTTACGAGAAAAGAAAGTTAGTGAAACTATGGACTCCTTCGTAATCGATAATGGCCTTTAAAAACGACTAATTATAAAGTAAAGTGAAGCGAGAATTTAGGAAACAAACAAATATTTGAAGATGGACTTTACAGGAGAACACTAGAGCACTAACCTGTAAATTTATGGAATATTTAGTGGATAAAAGCTGTGACCAAAGACTTTTACGTATGGGATGTGATGGGGGTAAATTGAGATTCCGAATGAATATTTTTAATTTCGCATGCCCATACTTAGAAGCTTTATCTAACAACGAGCTTAAAACAGCCAACTCATTGCCATCGTAAACAAACTTCCCTAGGCTTGAGGGATCCACCAAATCTGTAAAAGGGCTAGAATAAAATTTGTTATAGTAAGACTATGTTACGTAAAACAAATTGATATTAAGAAATACGATATATAAAGTTAGGTCTGTGCCACTTCACAGACGCCCAAGCTTAAAAAAGGGTTTTCTTATAGGACCAATGTCCCATTGAAAAGTCTACTCGATGAGACAATAAGATAACACTGTGAACCATATTTCTTTAGATAGCTATCGAGTGGTATAATCTTTTTATTCTTTTTATTAAGATCCTAAACTTTGTATGATTTGAAGTTGCTGTACTTAATTAGATCCATCACAAACGCACATGTGTAATCAACACAGAAACTGACAAAAATGTGCATCAATCTAATTTCCCACATCACATCAGCATAACGGGACTAAATTATCAATATGAATATTAAAGTAGTAGAAGCAATGATAGTAATAGCATCAGTGGCAGAAAAAAAATCAGATACAGGAAATACGATTCTAAAAGAACGAATTCATAGAATAAGAAACAAAATCATTTTTAAAATCAGGATACAGGTTTAACGTTAAAATGAATATATCTGAGCCGTTACTACCGATCATGCAGCCACCTAGGTAGTGAAAGTTAGCGCAACATATTTATAACTGAGAGCAAGCCGTTATGTATAAAAAGAATCTGAAATATTACTAACAGTTAAGTGAATGATACGCAATGTAAGAAAACCGGGACAAATTACCCAGCTAGAAGTATGCCTCCAATGTAGAACCCAGTATAAGTTTTCATAACACTAAACAACACAAGTAGGAAACCAACTAAACGAGAACGATATCACGATGAACAAGAAGGACGGGAGATGAAAAATCAGTCCTAAATTCGAAAAAGGAATATTTATATCGGGACAACTGTGATCGATTTATAAGTATATCATCGTGAGAAATCTTACCACGAAACATGTCTCTCCACAAATCAGGTAGAAATATCTTGTCGACTGGCATCATTTTTCTGCGTGATTACAAATATCAGTTTGGAAATATTCGCACTCTAACCAACAACTCATGTTATTGGACTAGCCAGTTGAAAAAGTACAATTCTATGATAGAAATGGTTATCCGATTAAATAGTTAAGGCATATTGAATGAGAGCTGAAGACAATGTCTGAATACTTAAGAAATAGATGACCCAAGGTTTTACCCTCAAGTAATAACTAAACTTCGAATGTTTAGGACACGATGTCTCAGTTTCATAATAATAATAATAATAATAATAATAATAATAATAATAATAATAATAATAATAATAATAATAATAATAATAATAATAATAGTAAGCACTGCTGACAGGGTATTTAGTAAACACATAATAACCAATATTTTGAGGTTAAATAGTTACAAAAATATAATTCTACTTTTTACGTTTTTTAAACCTCAATTATGGTATTAAGGAAGTGTAATCTACTTCAAGGTGCCTAGAATTCCTTATAACAGCGACTCGCGAATATTTAAACTGTACAATATTTTCCTCAAGTCATTTCTCTCCATAAACTTTGTGTTCACAAACTTCTCAGATACGAAATGTATAATATTAATATGTATGTAGCATGTATCAAAAATCCAACAAATTATAAATTTTTTGACACAAGTCTACCTAAACACATCATGTAAACGACAAGATTTAATACCTTTCCCCCGAAGTAGGTAAAAGCTCACGTGGCCCTTTTAGGGATGACGCATAAAGCCATTAGGCATCCAACAATTGTTTCACTACACGCCAGTGAGCATTGGGGACGCGATAAAATATTCCTAATCCAGGCACGCTTTTTTAAGACTGTGGACGTAGTATTTTAGAGAAGACTACGGTGTTGTGTACTCGATATTTAATGGTTCATTAGATGTTTCACTCAGACAATTCAGTCGGTAAATCCCAAATAAATTTAGTATCTTTACTGTGATTTTTTAACAAATAATTCACCATTCTTACTGAAATTTTTAAATTCAGTATAGTGATTTGAGTCCTCACAAGGTCGGTTCAAAATGTAAGATCACTAGACAATCTGTCTATTTGTGAGAAGTAACTAGTGATTCCAAGTAATTCAAGACTTCCGTTTTATGATATGTTACCTAAGGGACCACTTCATGAAGTCATTAACAAATGATCTGAACCATGTACGTAGGTGCAGACTGCTTAGTTGGGGTCCGCAAAACTAACGTAACTAATGGTTGGAGACTTTCGGTGGCATGATTTATGATCGTGTGCAATACCGTGCGTGCATACGTTCTTTATTCTCAATTATTCCCTAAATCTCCTTGTACTTTTTTCTCTTTATATACCTAACCTTTTCTAATACTACAATTAGTACTACTACTTCTAGCACTCTTGGATTTATCTCGATAATTTTGTCTCGTCGTGTTAATGTGACATGGTAACTTGAACTTTGAGCTTACATGTTATGCTTATCATAATAAACAGATTTATATTTCAGTTAAACTAAGTTTAAGTATGGAAAACAACACTAAGACTTATCTCAGCAACTATAAAAATTAGATTCATTTCACTGATGAGAAGAGACTTAAGTTCTTGCAAATCAGTATTTCAATACATTACTTTTCCTTATTCAAACTAGTTGAGAAATAAGCTTACTTAAAACTAAGGGGGATCGTGGAATACACTTGTGAAAAGGAGTAAAACTAAGTTTACTCACCAAGTTCATCTTTTATTTACTCAGCTTTTACACATTCCTTGTTAGCAGTAATAATGGCACCCGGCAGCTCAAGTTGAAGTAAGTGTAGCAGAATTAGAATCCGAAACCAACTAGACGGGTAAATTTTATGGCAATTAACCCACTGCCATGTTGAGGTGTTCAACATCGATACTTACTATTATTTGGTTGGTCTGTTGCGCAGTACACTCAGAAACCTATGTTTTACCAAAGCTAAGCTCCTTTATATATTTCTAATTATTATTTCACCATCCTTTCCAACTTACGGGGACCTTTATCAGTTTGAATAGAAGTTTGGGTAACATGTAACTTAAAAGGACAGTGAAGGATGCTTTTACGTAACCAACCATGGCTTAATGGATGATAAGTGCAAATCATTGTCAATATATGGCACAACCCTACTCAGTGGCCTCTACACAAAATCTAGACCGAAATTCTGTCTACACACCCATTTCGAGTTACTTACCTCAATGTTGAGCTCATAATAGTTCATAATGTAACAGATGATTGATTGGTAGGTAAGGACCGAAGTCCCAAATATTTTTGTGGTTAAAAATCAAAAGAAATACGGACGTCGGACGAATCAACCAAAATCTAAAATATAAACAAATACAAATGATCTAAAACTGTCTCAGACATTACAGCTAATACGAAAAACTAGGGGTAAAAGTATTCGTGAAAAGGCCTTTATAAAAATAGCCTGAGGACATATATAATTGGTCTACTATACACACTAACTATTATACACTCGTCTTTTTCGTTAGACCCGGACTGAATTGAAACAACGTTGACCTCAGCTGCTAATGACTACCCAATCCATAAAAACGCAAGGTATGTGGATTACCACTTAAGAGGTGCATTTGTGGTTCAATCACTAGATTCGAAGCCACTAGATTCCGCAATAAAACCATGCACCACATTGTTCAGTCTGGGTACCCGAATAGTATCGCTGTCCCTCACACAAAAGTGTGGTATTAATGCTTCGATCTCGCGTTAAGAGATGCCAATGATTAAGGCACTGTAGCAGATAGTAAACGTAATGGACGCCCCAATATCAGCCCGTTGACAAACAGTTAGTCGAAATATCTAGCACCCATCGAGGCATGTTTGTTATAAAAAACTAACTATACATATCTGACATCGTGGTTTGCATATACTAAAACTGACTCAACTTCTTGAGAAGAAAAATGAATACGATTTTTGATACGGTCGGTCCACAATATACATGAGTGAACTATGGTCCACTTATTTATCGAGTGCATTATTTCCCAGCATTTAATTAAGGTGGTAACTAAATACTAGTGGATCCATACATTGAGTGAAACTGTAGTACTGGCCATTTACTTTAACTTAGATATATCTAAGCAAACCTCCCTAGTGATGAAGAATTGATGGATAAACACCTCGTCGGCGAGAAGTTCTTTTCATTAGTAACTCATAAGATTTTCTTAATGCGTGTGAACCTTTTGAGACTTCCCAGAATAGGGGATTTATCGGTAAAGATCCCAAACATGCGCTAATTTTGGGAAAATGGGACATAGAAGACCCTAAATTTTTCAAGGCTTATGATTTTTACTCAGAGTTTACCTAAAATTGACCAATTTTGTACCGATCGGTACAACTTTTAGGTTGGGAATTTGTGGTCCCTTGACCGAGGTACAAGATGTTAGTGACCATGTGTCTATTGTGCGTGAACCCTAGTCGGATTTATTTTTGGTTAATAAAATTACCCGATGCTGGACTGACTTTTGCAAAATGAAGCAAGGCGTAACAACCGAGCAAAGAACTAAGCCCTGGTGATAACTCAAATACCAAACGACCTTGAGAAGTCATATAAATGGTTCAAATGGTTCAAATGGTTGTGGGCGGAATAGAAGAAGCTTTCGCTTAACAGACTTCCGTGTCTAGTAGCAGGGGATCACCAATACCTCCAGGCAAGAACCTAGGTATATTAACGATAAAAGAGAAAAAAAGTAATTGGTAAATCATAGTAAGATACTATCCTTAGTCCTTAAGAATAGATCAAGTCGTCTCCTAAAGGACTCCTGGGAAGTTGCTTGGACTAGCTCAGCTGGCAGCGAATTCCAGCATTTGACAACTCTTAAGGAGTAGAAGTTGTTTCTGCAGTCCGTTCTACTATGTTGTATCTCTAATTTCTGGGTGTTACCCCTTAAGTTAGTGTTGGGACTAAGCTTAAGTAGATGTTTAAGAGGATGTTCAGGTGTGTTAAGGATACTGTAAGCCATCAGAAGGTCACCTCTAAGACGCCTATACTCTAATGGGTAAAGGTTAAGTGATTGGAAGCACTGTTTATAAGGTTTAAATTTGAGTCCACAAACTGATTTCGTGGCTCGCCGTTGGATACGCTCCAGAGTGTCTTTATCCCTTTGGAGTGTAGGAGGGAATACCATGTTTCCGTACTCTTAATGGGGACGAATAAAACTGTAGGAGATTATGTGGAAAGTTCTTCCGTCAGACTGACCAAAAATGTGCTTGAATGTTACCAGTGCAAGGTTTGCTCGAAAGGCATTTTTGTCACAGTTAGCGTAAGACTTCAAATCGTAGGGTACAAGAATTCCTGTATCTTTTTCGACTCGGGGTACTACTAGAGAGGAGTTTCCTAAGTTGTAACTGTAATCTGCGACGTGTCACAGATGGATTACTTTACACTTTGAAGTGTTAAAGGTAAGTCCTTTATTGTCTGCCCAACTTTTAAGTCGAGTCAGATCCTCCTGAAGTGCCTGTATATCCTCTTGGTTGCATATCTCTCTCCAAAGTTTCACGTCATCGGCAAAGAGAAATATGTCTGACGTTACCTGTTGAGGAAGATCATCTATATAAATCAAGAAGAGAAGAGGTCCTAGTACTGGGCCCTGGGGGATCCCACTGGGACATTTCATAGCCTGTGAGAAATTGAGGTTTACCCTGACCTTAAAATGTCGGTTTTTCAGATATGAAACGAGCCAGTCAATTAAAGGTGGTTTGATACCGAATTGTTTGAGCTTGTTGATAAGACATATGTGATTAACCCTATCAAAAGCTCTAGAGAAATCAAGGTAAAAGATATCAACCTTCTCCTTGCGATCAAGGATGCTTGCCCATCTATCCACCGCAGTCAGCAGGTTGATCATACAAGAATAACCATTCCTGAAACCATGCCGTTGGGGTGAGAAGAAATTTAAGGACAGTACATAGTCATGTATATCACTGCATATCAGAGACTTTATGATTTTTGAAGGTATAGAGAGAAGAGCCACCGGTCAGTAACTTGAAGGTTCGCTGCGTTGACCTCCTTTGAAAATTGGTGCGATGTGAGCCAGCTTACATTTTCCGGTAGTTTACCTCTGCTTAGCTAGTGTGAGAACATCACGCTAAGCGGTGTTGCCAGGATTGAGGTTGCTTCCCTCAGTATAGCAGAGTGGACCATATCTGGACCAGGAGAAGTGTCTGTTCTTATGTGCTGTAGTTTTCGGAGCACCACGTCAGCGCTCAGTTTCACTACGGAAAGTCCTGTGCAGTTGCAGATGAAGCCGTCATCAGTATAGTTGATGTGGGTCGGTTGAAATGTCCGGGAGTATTGTTCAGCCAGAAGGTTTGCGGCGTCACCGTCATTATCGGTCAGGCCGTTAGGACCTAGCAGTTGAGAAACTCCAGTTTTGGCTTGACGAAGAGAAGTTGCATAACAGAATAAGCTTTTCGGATTAAAGACAAATTTATCCATAAGCTTTATTTGGTACTGAAGCCTGTCTTCTCTTATAGCCTTCGTGGATATTTTTCATATCCGTTTGTATTGCCTGTACGCGCCGCTGTTCTCAGTTCGTTTGTATTCTGCCCAACTGTGCCTTTTGCAGCTTAGTAAACGAAGAGTGCGGTTCTCGGTGATTTTAAGTTGCTTGTAGCTTTTGGGGACCGTCTGAGGAACTGACTGCTTTGTAGCACATAAGAGCGTGTGCAGTAAGAAGTCCCAATGAGAATCCACATTGAAGATGCCACAGGTATTCGGAATTTGACAACGCTTTAACCAGTAACACCTTCTAATATGAAGCGCACCCACCAAGTAAAATCAAAAGACAGAAGTGAGGAGATCGAAGATATATTTGATAAGCTATCAATATATCGAGGATCGTTTGCACTAATCTGGCTAGCGATTGAGGCAGATGTTGAGCACGGCGTTTCCACGCGTGATCTGGTGCGGATGCTTGACCGAGCGCCTTCAGCTAGATGAGTCCACTAAAACTGTGGCCAGCATCCAATGTCGAAAACTTACAGTGCTATTTGATTTTGGGGAATTATTTACCGCTACAGATCACTCCCCCCCTAGTGGGGTAGTGATGACCCTAAGACGTGGCCAGCCAGAAGTTTAAACCCAACGAGATTTTCGTTGGTAAACACTCTTCTGATAGCTTGCTAGGTTTAGCAGAGTCTGGTCGTCTTTCCTTACTATAATGGACCATGATGTACAATATAGTAAAAAAAAGGTACAATGCAGATTTTCGTTTTTCGCAACTTCATCGTTCTTTTCATCGTCTTTTCCAGTCGTCCTGGAAAAGAAAAGAAAAATATGTAAGTGCATGTCGGAAAACACTCGTACGCGCGTGAGAACACAAAACGGGCGAAGAAAAAGGAAAACAAACTCATGCTCACGTAGTAGCGTAAAATAAGATTTTTATAATATCGTTATTTTTTTGTTTTTTTCTTTTTTGAAATAAAAAAAAATAATATATAAGCATATTAAATTCAGGTTTTTTTTTTTAAAAAAAATTATATATAGTACCAGGGAAAATCGAGGGGATATAAAATGTTAACTTGTGTCTTACGTGCAGTAATCATTCAAGTGTTCTGGAAATCTTACTCTTCTTCCAGAACGCGTTGTTTTGAGTTTATTTTCGGATACTGTCGCAGTATCAACGTGTGTGTCTGCTGTCGATTGAGGCATTATAAGCGCAGGAGTTGTGTCGTGCGATTGTATTGAAGGAAAATCGACGTGAATAGGATTTCCTTCTAAATACGCTGCTTTGAGGCGATCGATACTGATGCTTTCGTTGGTTCCGTTCTTATCTATTATATAGTACTTAGATTCGCGTTGAAGAACTTTGAAAGGTCCTTCATATGTTGATTCGAGAGGTCGTCGATGCGAATCTCGACGCACGAAAACGTGTGTACTATGTATAAGTCAGGTTGAACGAAAACATCAGTTGATTGTGGTCGAGTTGAGATGCAGTGTATCCAATGTCAGATTTCACTGCATTGCGTATGCCTAGTAAGACGAGTGGAAGAGCGTCAGTCCACTGAGAAATGTTTGGAGCTGATAGTGACGCTTTTAGTTGTCGGTGAAAACGTTCTACTAATCCGTTTGCTTGTGGGTGGTAGGCCGTCGTTCGAAAGCGAGTGATTCCTAGTTTCATGGTAAGACAACGGAACAGTTCAGATTCAAACTGACGTCCACGGTCTGTAGTAATGGTTGTTGGGCAGCCGAAGTTTGC